ATATAATTTCCTCTTCCTCAACTTTTCCTATCTGATTGGCTCCAATCGGTTTCTGGTTCATGGAGTTCCCAATGCATTAAGTAACCACATATCATCTGACTGATCACACTGACAGAATCAGATGTAAGATCCCGTCAGAATATAAATAAATTCTATATTCGCGGGCAATGCAAGGCAGGCCTATGTAGGCATGATCAAGGCGGAGTGGGAATTGCGCGTACAATCGTTACCAACTAAAGCAACAAGTATACAAAGCAATCCACTCCAAAAGGCATGCCAAACTTAAACCACATGTTGATTTGCTATTCCTTTGTACATAAATCTGTAGACAGCTGGTCGTTGCTGGAGGGGATGAGGTGCATGGTACTCGTGGACATACTAGGCTCGAAGATTGCTTCCATCCTGTGTGGAGCGCACAACGGGCCAGTCACCGCTTTGTATGCGCTTGATTCGCCAAATACAGCCTGCTTGTGCTTGCCTGTGAAGTATTGTGGTCCGGCTCCGTTGATGTAACGTGGCTCCAATCCACCTGCCTCCCGGTCTGATTCGGGTTTACACTTGGTATGAAGTGTGTGGATGGAGCTGTGGATGGTGCAACGCAAGGCACTCTTGGTCCCTCTGTAGGTGCAAGCGTTCTGTGGCTATCCTTTGGAGGCCCCAGTGACAGATAAATCGGGACACGGATGCCGCCAACCAACATTGGTGACGCTGGTAAAACGAAGCGATGATTCTTTCATTGATGGAAGCCATTACGTGGTCAGTCATGCTGCGTAATCTTTGTACGTGGCCACAGTCAAAGCAAAGAGGCACTTATCGCATCATACTAATGCGATTTTAATATCTGGGTCAAAGGATGTTGCTGACAGCGACTAAACGTAGTTTATATATCAATCCCCATATTTGGCCAGCATCAGCCAACTGCTTAAGCGTAACTTCAGCGCCGTTACTCAAGCAAATATCTACCTCAAAGCGACAGAAGTGCCGGAATGCCTGTTCATTCCTGCACACACAAAATTAAGGGACTCAGTCCTGACCACTCTCAGTCTAGAAATAAGGTCGTAGCAGCCAACGGCTAAAATATTCCAGATACCACGTAAGACCCATTTTCCAAGAGCTAACAAATGCCCATGCAATCTGCCGAACCCTAGGTGTTACCGACAACAATTTAATAACAACCGTCAGAAATTTCCAAGACCAAATGTGTACAATAGTTCGGCTCTCAAAGGTTACGTGCCGCCAACAGCAATGGTCAACAGATAAGCAGAAGGAAGCGAAGCGGTTCTAATGTCAGCGTGGTTCAGAGCGAATTGATCAATCGTCAATCGATCAGCCAATGAGCAGTGCACATGGAACGCGGGCGTGGTGAGTGAGTCTAGCCTACTCACTCAGGCAACGGCATGTGTCCTGAACGAGAGTAATTGTGAGTGTCTAGATGAGAGGTCAGGCAAACAAAAAAAGTAGGATAGGACCAGTACAGACTAATGAAGCTGAGTGTGGAACTGGACGGTATAACACGCACAAAGCGTAAAACCGAAGGCGACCGTTGAACATTTAACCATTGAGTGATGCAGAACGGGTAAACTCTTGTGGTTAATCAAGATCTAAATGTGAACGAGAAACAAAGTAACTGAGGTTTTATCATGCAAAGTCCAATAAGAAATCCAGAGATAGTGATTGGTCGTTTTTGAATCAACCAGTAGGAGGAGTCCCCAGATAGGATGAACAAGTTAATTTGTCCCTTACACTCGGTGATCTAATGAGGTCAGCGTATAGTACAGCAACCCGAGCATTCATACAGAGTTGGCGCTCTGGTCATTCTGACCTAACAGCTTATCAGTCATTAATGAAATCGTATTACTCAGTACATCATCCGCCAAAACGAGTTCGGGAAGCCGTGTCGAATTGCAGTTTCGTTGGGATCCCATTGATCAACACAATAATGAACCCTCGTCGCGGTTTAGACTCGCTTTGGAATGTGGTAGCTATGGATAGAAACACTGCGCCATCCATAATAAAATCGTCGAATTATTGTACTACCCACCAGGCCACAAATTCCTATACGTGACCTATATGTAGGTGCATATTGTATCGTCCACGCCTTGTGTACACCAAAGCGACGGCATACGACATTCAAATCGAGTTCCGTCCCAGATATGGAAGCTAAACGAAAGATTGGCTCTGTCGCCTGTCACTTGAAGATACGAAAACAATGAAGATGGCAACGTGAGGTTAATGCGGTTTTTCCTGAACAGTAAAGGACCCTCGGCTTCCACTTATGAGGAGCTACTCTATGCGACTCTAGAAGATGACGCAGTGCTGCATTCAACAATTTTGCTAGACGGCTGGCGACAGAATGAAAAGTACGGGCTAACTTTGACAACCCTGCTTGTTACTTCACGAACGTTTCGTCATACGTGGTTTTCTAATGTGTAACAGTATATTAGTGTCTTATTGCGTCTTATTGTAGAAAATCATTCTCTGTGCATTCGAAGGCTACTCTAGCATCGTTCGTAGGAAAGAGAAAGCTGGTTAATGAATACTCTTCGTGTCAAATGGTAGACAAGAGTTCACAGTCGATTTCTTTCTACACAGCCCCTACTTACTGGTTCATTCATAGTCCGTAACCATAGCAACAGAACACCGGGTTTGCTGGTGCCATGAAAGGACAACCGGATCCGTCGGAGTTCATCTGTACCTTCAAAATGTCACTGGTAATGTTCCTACGGAAAGCGGTAGTTGATAGCGAACAAGCAGTAACCTCATTAAAGTCGGAGCATATCAAATGGAAGTGCGATCTTACAAATGCCAAAAAAGTATTGGGTACCAAACTGAGGAAAACAAGCTTAGTCTTCAATAAAACATATTCGAGCGTCTAGGTTACAATAAAGAACGGATATCATCAGAGAACTAAAGGGGAAGATAATGTTATCTGGTTGTTTCGGAAAGTAATTTCGTTTTTTACCGGTATAAGATTTGATTGTACTTTTTTCACAGCCATGTTCACATTTAAGCAGAAGATTTTTATTATTTGACAGCTGCGATGGCAAGAATTGCTTGTGCAAAAGTTCAATTTACTTTATGCAGTGGTTTTCGGTTGTTGGCCTTTCAAATATAGGAATGAAAAAGCAGCATCATCAGTTTATCTTATTATTTTACTATCGAACAAACAAGAATGTAGTTTAAATATGAAAAATTTTGGATGTGTATCAAGAAGATGTATTGACAAAACGCCAGTGCCAAAACTGATTTGAAAAGTTTCGATCCCGAATTAAATAAGCAATTCAGTGTATTATTTAATAATTTAAGTACTTACAGTAATTATTTAACTACTTTGTATTAATTGAGGTAAACCGGTGAACGACAGCTCGTGAGAGCACTGTGAACTTAAATTCTTTTGCATTTCACCGTTCATGATCATTTAAAACGCCTAGGTTTCCTCTCAAAACTAGACATTTGCGTTCCTCATATTCTTAAGGGAAGAAATATGCGCCGTCGCGTTGACGTCATTGGTTTGCTTCCCAAACATCAAGAAAATGATCCATTTTTAAAGCGCATCATCACTAGGGATGAGAAATGGTTTGTCTACAACAATATTAAACGCAAGCGCTTATGGACTAAAAAAGTTGAACCAGCTCAAACTATTTCGAAAGCCGAGATGCATCAAAATAGTTGATACCATCTGTTTGTTAGGAGTTCAAATGAATCGTTCTCTTTGAGCTTCTACTGGACAACGCAACGATCAATTCAGAATTGCATTGTCATCAGCTGGACAAACTGAATGATTCACTTAAACAGAAAAGGCCAGAATTAATCAATAGGAATGATGTACTGTGCCACCAAGATAATGCGAGATCTCATACAAGTTTGGTAACTAGCCAAAACTGCTACAGTTTGACCGGCATACATTGCCACACCCAAGGTATTATCCAACTCTGTCATCTTCTGATTATTATCTGTTCCCGTCTCTAAAATCGTTTGTAGACAATCAAATGTTTACTTCAAATGAAGTAGCCAACAATCCTTTGGATCATATTTTTGCCAGCCAGGAATAACTTATTATGAGCGGGGACTCAAGCTACTGCCAGAAAAATGGCAAAAGCTACTGGACCAGAATAGACAATATATAGTTCGATAAAGTATTCGTTCATTATGAGAAAACTGGTATGCATTTTCATTGGAAGATCGAACCTACTTTCAGAACAACCAGATACACTAGGCAGAAGACGAGCGGATAGCTTTAGTCCGTTTACATAGGATAGCTGATGGAAATGTATGAAGTAATTGGCAGTTGTGCCGGGCCTCTGACTGCTTCCACCCACTAAACGTAATGAGAATACGACCAACTAAGTGCATGGATTTAGGGGTTCCTTTCCCTAGGGAAACGACTTCGTTATGTAGCATGCCGCGCAAACGTGAAAACCAGCCAGAGAGCAGAAACCGTGCGGACAAATAAAGCCAATAAAGACTGAGCAAGCAAGGGATCAATCAGGTGTACAAGAAGGATAGAAAGTGGAAGTTTTAGTGTAAGAATGGGGCTGTGAGCAAAAAGCAAAAACAGCGACACATAACAGCCATAAGAGTAGCGATATGGTACGTTAAAATAAACATCAGTGAATCACCAGAGCAAAGCGATAGTCTGCTGTCATGAACAGTTACACAAGCATATTTACATTTTGATTGCCCCTCTAACAGCATTCAAGTTGGGAATACGTTTATACGAAACCCAGATTAGTTATAACTTCGGAGTCTATCACAGCCAACCGTTGATCTTTCACCTTGGGCAAAGCTATCCCAACAGACGCCCTTCACACTGCTGTGGTTCTGATTTAGGGCTAGAAATGAACACCAGGAAGAAGACATTCTTCCTCGCGCAACTAGCTCGCGTAGGGCGTCTCTGTTACTCCACCGCATCCGGTTGGCTGTTAGTCTTTTAGGCCTTACATATGAGCAACTTGCACTAACTACCCAAACCCAAGCTCCTAACAGATCAAGCAACTTACTTTCTTGTCAATACCAACAATGCCTTGCCAAATTCTGGTGAGGTCCCGCAAGTTAAAGGCATAATGAAAGCGCTTTGGTGTTGGCCGAAGATGCATGTTCGTCTGCTCCCAAATGATGCGTGTGACGCTAACTAAACGACGCATTAGATCAGCCACGTCCTGTCTAAATCCGCTTTCAGCAGAAATGTAGTTCGAAACGATAGTGCCAAATATATGATCCAGAGTCATCCGACTGGGCAGTGTGGTGTTGAACATGCAAAACTGACCCTTCAATCTGCACGGAATATCCATTCTATCTCCTCCATGGGTCCGCATGGCAGCCATTATCTGAATCAAAAAATATAGTAAAACAAAACACTATAACTGTAGTTAAATGAGGGAGTAATGCATGAATACCGTGAGTCAAGGAAAATCGATAATGTCGCGCAATAGTTCATAAGCCGCTTCGGCCTACCCAACTGCACAGACAGCTGGCTCATAGGATCAAAAAGGGTTTTATTGACATCATATTACTGCTAAGGTAACAACAATGATAATGCTACTACGATAGCGAGAAAATTAACAGTACCGATAATATGGATCTAATCCTTGCTACATCAACACCAGTTACGGCGCAACGCGTCTGCGCATACTTTGTCTCAGCTGCAATTAGATAACGTTGGTGACCTCATGTCAAGCAGAATGTTTAAAGGCAGTGGTTCCTTCATTTGCTCGAAGGACTGAAGACGATAAATAAGATAACCTGAAGTAAGAGTTTTACTAATAATATGGCATTCATTGACAAAAGTTGTATCTCACAGTTTTGAGACAGAGATTGCTTGGTTTGCTGAAATTGTAGTTATTTTCACCCTCGGCTAACCTCTCGAAATCCAAAAACAATTCAGAAAGATGTTTAGGCTACGCTTAGAGGCTGACGTAGTGCATGACAAAAGTTCGTGTTCTCCATCCTCCTAGTCTTAAATCCAACTGTTCTGACTTGAGTCTCCAAGATAAGGACGAGCCCGTAAAGTTATGAACTTGGTAATGTTTGTCGCGCTGCGCGTGTAAACAAGCCTCTCCGGTGCTCACTGTATGCCAGTTTCTTGATCCACGCAAAACGTAATTTTGCCTATCTTGTGTACCACTTCAACGCTGTTCATCAGAAAGGACATCAACAGCTCGGCCCCGTGCCATCTTGCTTGTTACGCTGGTTTACACAAAGGTGGAGATCGCACAATGAGAAGAATTTTGCCACCACCAACCAACATGGGCTTGACAAGTGAGATTTCCCTCCTCTTCATCCCATTGATGAAACAATGTGTGAGGTCATCTCCTCGGTTCCTGCGCTTTGACATGTTGTCTTCCGGTGGGAGGGTGACAAGTGTGGGCGTAGAAAAACCTCGTATTCGGAGGAGTAACGATCACGCGCGATGCCTTGGCATCGGTACTGCGTGTCTAGTTGCCCTTCTATGAGTTGAAAGCAATTCCACGTAGCGATCAGACTTGTTTATAATGGAGACCACTTGTCACTTATGACGTGTTCCAATGTGGCTTATTTCACAGCCTAGTCTCTCTGGTTTGTACCATGTGGTCCGCCTGAGTTCAAGGCTGTTGCGTCTAATTCACGTTTACCTTGACTTTTTCATGAGTGCTACGTCGAACGAATCCTGCTCTGTCCACCCCGCCGTGCTGCTATGGTAAGTAGTCGCATACGACGCTTGATCTGGCTGCCCAGTCGCCCAGCGTTGTTGAATTACTCATTAATCATTATATGCCTTTACAACAACCGCTGCGATATCTCCCTTGATGAGGTTCGTCCGGTCGCCAAACATCCATTTCATCGAAAGCTTACGGAAACATAAATAATTACCTGGCCCGTTAATGCTGTGAAACAATAACATTTTGTAAATTGATCGTGAGTACGTCATCCGTCCTTGACAATAAAAAGTCTACCGGTAGAGTGCTAGGTAGCAGACGCTCCACAACACCGATGGACCGGTGGGATGTCGAAGCTTTTCAAGGTATTGACGCATATGTGTACGTCATAACGGGTGATGGCAACCATGAGGGAAGTGTGAATACCATGGTTGGATTGGCTACTGGTCTGTAAAGTTTCGCATGCGTGGCTGCTATTCTAAGGTACTACCACATAGTGAAGCGCCCTGTAAGAGCAGTGAGCCTTCAATGTGATGTCATCAAGAGTAAAACCGACGCCCGTTCGATCTGCAAAGCCAAGGACTGTGCATGTCGAAAGAGGATGAATGAGGGTAGGATGGGTTTCTTCCGGATTCGGTAGTTATGTAAGCGCCCGTTATCAAAAAGCTTCGGGTCAAATGAGTGCTTCACCTGATCAAATAGTTCGTCGTCGGAGCAGCGAAGCACACGAGTGCGACCGAGTGTTATTGTGAAAGCATCTTAGTTCGTGGATGAACGACGACGTCGAAGTTCCGTTGGCTGAGTTTTGTGGGACTGACAGTGAACACGAAACTATATGGTAGACTAATTACTTGAAATAATTAATTCTCCTTTCAATAATTTGAAGAGAGTGGTGAGGGGCCAACGCGGGTGGATGCGTGGGCTTCACGGTGCTTGCAAGTTCCCGTTACAGTGACGAGAAAATGTCAAACTATGTGTCGTAACGGATAAGCCATCGAGTGAATTTGGCTACTAGTGGTGACGGCCTTAGGAACACGGCAACGATGCTTGACAATCAAGTGAGTAAATTCACCTCTATTCGTCTTACAACTGCTGTATGTGCAACCTCAAAATAAACGAGGCAGTGTAACGCAATGAAATCCGAAACATCGACAGCGAACCGCCAAGCTACGCCTGTTTAGATGACACGTAAGTGAGTTCCGAGCGTTGAAGTGCTTGACCGGCCTCACATTGAACGCAGCTGCGCCGTTCCACCACTGTGGATTTTAAAACTCCGTCCGTTCTTTCTATGTAGCCACTTCTATAGCCATACTTATATGGGTAAAGGTAATGTGATTTAGCGACTACGGGTTCACGTTTCTTCACTAAATAAACGATTTTTTCTTGGAATCTAATTGCGATGAACTAAACCGAATCATATCTAAATCCGTCTAGTCATTAGTAATCAAAAATCTAAGCCCTACCAGTATTCAAATTTGCTGTGTGAATGCACGGCGCTGGCAAGGGAATACCTGACCGTGACGGCCAACCAGTTTCCTCTGCACGGGCAATAATCAACACGGCAGTGGAGGATGGGTCGGGCTATAGCGTAGTTAAGTTTCAATTCGCAGTGGTCGGCTGTCGTCCCCCATGGCTCAGTGGCATAAGCTACTGGCTAATAAGGCGCAACGTGCGTCTGGTGCTTTTCCGGATTGGTAGCTAACCTGTGCAGCTTGGAAGCTAATTGCGACGAACTAAACCGAATGATACCCAAATCCGTCTAGTCATTAGTAATCAACTTTTATTCTCCTCGATGCAGGAGACTTTACGCATACGGACAGATTAACAGGTGCACAGTTTTAGTTCACAGATTGTGCCCAACACAGGACTGGAGGGAAATCCGTCCAATATATGGAGTTGGAACTTTTGAATTCACCAGTGTTGCATCATTGTTGAACTATGTGGTAGGGTCATGTCAGCGTCACACGGTTATTGTGTATATGGATGGAAGCAGCCAGATTTATTGGTGAGAAGTCGGGGAGATTGGTTCCCCAACTGCCTGTAAAGGTATCCATAAGGCTACTCTAGTCAAATGTCAGTTATGACAGTTATGCATCGAGTTAATTTAGCTCTGTGTATTGTCGAAGAATATAGCCATATTCCGACTGAAAAAGGTACCAACAACCCTCGGGTTCTTTTGACTTCTACAACCTATGCGTCACAGTGCGTTCCCTGAATGGCTGATGCAAGTGCCATTGTAGAAGAGCGTGCACCCTATTGGCTTAATTTCATTCGTGAATTGCTTCCCAAAGCAACCCAAGGGAAAGCCAGTGAAAAGAAAATGAAAGAATGGGATATTACGACAACACTTTCAAATACACATACCTGAATTGTAATTAAGTTTGTAGACACGACCCGAATATCCTCAACAGTGACAGTTTCCTTGGTAGGTGCTCAGCGTCCGCGGATACCATTAGTTCAGTGGTCGGTAGAAGTGTGATCGTACACCAGCTATGTTTACATAAACGTTCCCGACCGTAGAGTTTCCTCTTCTTTTACTCAACCACTGAAGATTTACGTAAACGTTACATCCTGCCAGCCGCATTGGCTGTTTTACAGTTTTTGTTTCTGGGTACGGATCGCAGTTCCACTATGAGGCTAACGCTATCACTTTTCTTTCTTTGTATACATCCAAGTAGTTCCATATTTGTTCGGTTCTGTAGTATCTCCTTAATTTGACACTTGTTGGATCAGCCATACGCTCTCGCATTTGATTGATTTCATCTACATCTGCCTATTTGTTGTAACTCCTGCATGTGCAGACAAACTCATATATACGTTCGGCAGTTACTCTGGTCTTCTGCTTATTCGGGGTACAATAAATTGACGTCGCATCTTGCCGATGTCGTTGCACGCTAATGTTTCTGTACCTTTCTGGACTGCTCCTACGGTTACCCCAAATGCCGAATGCTGGGAAGGGTGGAAAAGCAGTTGTTAGGGTTACATTTCTCAATCCATCCTTGACGTAGAAAACGAAGGATAATTTGAAGCTTTTGGGCTTGCATCTCGGTTCGGGGGGTCGACATATGTTCGATGCTTTTAACCTTCGGGAGAAGGTCACTTTAAAAGATGTCTTATCAGTATTCGATGAACATTGGGGCCTTCAACTGAACACTTAAACACTAGGTACAATTTTTTGTAGCTGAATCAATCATCTGGTGAATTAATGGATGCTTTCATTATTCGCTTTGTTTGTTCTATTCGAAAGTGTGATTACGATAGTATTCCCAAGAAGAAAGTGGAAGAAGATATGCTAATAAAACAGTTGATTTCTGACTTCGCGGATTCTCGAATCAGTCTGCTAATGGAGGACGCAAGAACTCTTACTTGGAAAAGGGCCTGCGATGTGACTCGCGCGAAGGTCCCAGTCGCAGAACAGAACAAACTATTCTCTTCTAAAGCAGTAGCCACTGAAATTGACCGTTTGGATTCAACACGTTCTCTGATGCGGCGCTCGGTCGGAACTAAATGTTGCCGTTGTTAAAATACCGAACATCGGGCAAATGAAAAATCGGAACTTGAACAGAGTGAACTGCCGCAATTGCGGTAAGTTCGATCATTTTGCTCGAGGTTGTCGTTTCCGTGCCATTTCTAGTGTTGTTTCTGCCAATGACACTACGGCTTCTCCAATCATCGCTGAACATCCCGTGTAG